CAACAGCAGCAACAGCAGCAACAGCAGCAGCAGCAGCAGTAGCAGCAGTAGCAGAAGCAGCAGTACTCGCGTGACGGCGATCGACAAGAGGGAGAGCAAGAGTAGCGGCAGATCGGCAATCGACGTGCTGCACGGAGCGCCCTTATCCGTCCGACCGTACGTAACGGCGTCGTGTGATCGCATCGTCGGCACGACGCGCCCGGAATCGACGACACCCAGGAATCAGCCGGTAGCCGGCAAGTCACGCCGCTTTCAACACCGGACCCGTCGTCCTCGTCAGCCGCAGCAGCAACTTTACTACCCTCCCGCGTCGTGGGACACGCGCACACTACACTTCAGGAACTGTTAGCACCGATCAAAAGTGAGTCCAGTCCATCGATAGATCATACTCCACTTTTGTCATCTTCGTATTGAAAATAAATTTACTAAATTTTAACAAATATTTGTTTCAATAGTGCTAGTAAACTAAACGTTTACTTACAGTAAATAAGTGTATTTACTAAAAAAAAATAATACTTAAATCAAATTATTGGATACACCAGATAAATATATGTTTACATTTGATAAATATTTAGTTAGTACTATTAAAATAAATATTTATTAAAATTTAGTACATTTTTTTCACATAATTCTTCATGTCTCTCTCATATATTCAGTTTCTTCGAAACTTACTTTATTTTTTCTTCATAATTATTCAATAGTTTCGATAAAAGTCGATTTGTATTTCACTTATTTTTTTATAGATTTAATTCATTATAATTCACTGTCAAAATATCGACACATATATTACAACAGTGCCTTTAAAGATCCTATGTTATTGGCGATTAAAGATGCTCAATAGCATTAATAATATTATATTGCTTGTCAATTTAATTTGTGATGTTGAGTACTCCAAACTCCAATTTAAGACTATATTTCAAGACCGATAAATAATTGGCATTGTAGTTTGCTTGAACAGAAAATTCATACAAAATATTATCAGGTATTGTAAAATTCGCATAAAATTATTATAGGCATCAAGACTCGCTTTGATCGAATATGGCTTTCTTCATTTATGTTTAACAATCTTGATTTACGTTGCTATTGGTATTTTTTCTGAATTGTAAAATTCAGTAAAATATTACCAAGAGCCTCTTTTATCGAATATGATCTTTTTCGTTTGTCTGTGTTAATATCTTTTTCATTCTTCTTTCAAGTATTTTCCTATCTATTTTCTTTCACTTGTTATTCTCACGTTACGTTTTTCACTGATCGCGATTCACGCCCGCAGGAAGGTGGCTTAGCTGTGCGCAGCCTAGACAATGTCCGAAGATTCTGACTCTATATCAGAGGAAGAAAGAAGTTTGTTCCGTCCGTTCACGCGGGAGTCCCTGGCAGCGGTCGAGGCTCGCATTGCCGAGGAAGAGGCCAGGCAGAAAGAGCTTCAGCAGAGAAGAGCGGAAGGCGAGGTATGAACGCGGCCGTATGCGCTCATCGCACGATCGCGCATTTCTAATTTTCTTCGCGCATTAACTACATCGACACATAATTCGTCATGTGCGTATATCGTAGGATACCCCTTAAGTAGCGCCAAATAAATTACGCGGTCGTTCCATGACGATCACGTTCAGGCATTTCGATCCTTATTTCACGAAACTTTCGAAGAGATATTATTTCAACCGTAAAAAGATCATATTGGTAATTCCGAAAAATATGCTTTTGCGTAAATGTTCGTTGTACATACATACGCTTATTGTTCTCCAAACTCGTATCGCTATTTCGAGTTTGCTGTTATCCGTTGTATAATTTTTCAGTTAGTCATATATTGATTAACGCTAGCGGATATATTTATCTGACGCTGCTAATTTTCCTGCCAGGCTCGATTGTGCGATCAATTAATTTTCCTGTGTAATTACTGTCCTTTTTATACATATTCATGTGTACATATCTATTCATACGAGACGAGCAATGTAACAATAAAAGTTTACAAGTCTTTTTCTTACGAAAAAGATATATAACATTCGTTTAATTTGAAAATCCTATTGCACAACAGATCATCAGATTAGAGCTTTCAAAAATTCGTTTCTTTTATACCAATATGTATTACAGCCATTCGTTGCGCCCACAGGCGCTTATACATATAAATGTGCTAAATAAAAGTTTTGCATTGAATGCTACTCATACTTAAGATTTTGTTACATTCATTCTTATAAAATATTTTTATTAAAATTTTTTTTAAGAACGTTTTAGCAGAAATAATATTTTTAACTAATAAAATAAATGCGCATTCAAATCAAAAATAAATTAAGAATAAATAGAATATGAAAGGAATATTTTTTTAAAAACATTAAGAATTATACGATAAAGAGTTATACGGACTGCACTTGTCCAATGCATTTGATATAAAAGTAAATCGATTTGAATAAACAAACAACGGAAATTTCAGATAAAGGTACATTAATATTAAAAAAATTTTAAATTGCAGTATTCAACTTAAATATATTTGTTTTCTAAGAGATACGTTCTTTGATATTTAATGGAAAGTGCAATTTTTTAAATTGATTAATCTTAAGTATGAGCTGCCTTAAGCGGCGTTTACAAGATTGAAATTTTAAGGCGTAAAATTCAAGCCTTAAGCCTTAAACCGTAAGAAATTGACCAATCATAGTCGATTATTCTCCTCACATTCGATTATGATAGTCAACTTCTTATGTACGGCCTAAAAATTAAAGCTTAAGATTTGCGCCTTAAAATCTCATTGCAAATACCACTTTATCGTTAACCTTCCTATGCCTAGCTGTAGCGCCGTTTGCGAAAACTTTTCTTGTTCATTTTTTTCTTACATATGTCAAATTGCAAGAGGATTCATTTGTTCCCCTTATCCATTCGACTGTCCCTTTGATTGTTTGCTTGATCTATCTATCGCTAACGTAGTGAGGATGTAACTATCTCTTTACCGACGACTATTTAACCCATTTGTTTATACATACATATATCTGTCGTCGAGTAATGTATTGTGTGTGTTACGAAAGATATGTCACGTACAAAGCTCGATGTCTGCAGTGCCACTTATCTCTCTGTGCCTACTTATACATAAATACCTACATATATATAAATATATATACATATACATATTTTTTATGTGCGTGAATATATCGCTCATGTGTCGTGGCTACCTCCACTCTTTCTCTCTCTCTTCGCCGCATTCGCGTTAATGGATAACGCGCGAGTGCCACGCGATGAGAGATGATTATCACGGTGGAGCGTATTAATGTAAATCCAACGAATGAGTCCCTTACATCCTTATAATTAGCGCTCCTAATTTGCCTCACGGCTATAACAGCAACACCGATAAAAGGAGCGGATTTATTTATTAACCTTCGTCCTCCTCCTTCGTCTATCGTTCAACATTGATCGCTCTGTTTGAAAATTACTTTCGCAAGAGGAGCAAATCTTCTCCTTTTATTGCCTCCTTGTATTATACTCCAACGATGAAAGGTCAAGGAGAGAACGAGAGAGAAGCGAGATCAAGACTGGATTATCATCGATCGTCTCTCTTTCTTTTTCTGTAATGAATCTTAACATCTAAGAATGTATCCGCTTACTATTTTTGCATTTTTTTAAAATACATCACGAAGTTTGTGAATTAACTGGCTTATTTAGATGAATAAATTATTTCGTTCCCCTATTAATTGTGGCAGAAGCTACTTTATTTAATCAAACATTTAAAGGATGTTTTATAACAAAATTTTTTTAAATAGCTTAAAATAAAAGTTGATAATGATACGGGTTCTAACTCTCTGTGAAAATTATTTTCAAATTCCTAGACAAGCCGTATTTTCCCAACAGTTAATCCAGTCCCGATCAAGCTTGATGTGCTTGGAAACCCTCTTTCCGGGTTGCCTGATCCTGTATATTTTCCTGTCGTACGTCTATGTCGTAATGTAACATTGTGTTTCTTCTCCTTCCTTTGATGCCATCTATCTGTCCCCTTTCTGTCTCTCTTTCTCTCTTTTTCTATTTTTCTTTTCTAAAGTCGCCCGATTCAGCTCTTACTCTTCCAAAAGCTACGGACTGAGCCATCTTATCGCAATCTCCCTTGTTATAGCATATATTGGCATATTATTTTTTTTTCTACTCTGTTCATTCACCGATATCCCCCGTATTCTCTGTATCTCTGTGTGTAACGACTGTTTCTCCATTTCTCCAATTTCAGGGAGGTTATGGACGGAAGAAAAAGAAAAAAGAAGTAAGACGTTACGTCACGCTAAGTAATACTGCTCTCTCTATCTCACATCCGACTCTTCTACCTTACTAACATACACACGTGCACATGTACACGTCATATATCTCGACACACACACACACACACACACACACACACACATCTCTCTCACACATATGTATATACATTGTGAACACGTGCGCAAACAGACACGCACACGATCTCACGATTTTTCCTCACTCTCGGCAGCATTTGGCCGATCGATCGACTGGACACGCGTCACTCACTCACTGCTCAACGCCACACATACGATACACATACAATACTTGCTCACATTTTGTGCAGGGATTGAAAACAAGAATAATGAACTTTTCAGTTCCACGCGAATGTCGAAGAAGAATCGATATTGATAATAGTCACGGACGATTCCACACTTTCGCACCATACTCGAAGCTGCGTTTATATTGGAATTTTACACAGTCGATTTTACATTAATTATTGGCTTACGGATCATTTTAATTTTATTAGTTTCTTTGTTTGTTTATTAATCTTTGATATGTAAATCTTCTTTCAGAGAATCATTTAGTACTGTTCCTCTTGAA